TGTAAATATACTATTGCACTTAATAAATTAATAATAATAGTACATTATACAATTATATTCAGCTTATTTAGTATTATTTACATAACAAACCTATCCAACCAACCCTTATTTTAGTGGGTCGGGAAGGGGAAAAAACGTAACTTTATTGTTGGCCCAATTCAGAAAATATCCACATATTTTGTCCCTCTGAGCGGTTGTAAAAAACGTCACATTTCACACTTTTCTGTGTAATGTACTTATTTAAAACATATGAAATGGGTATCTTTATTGCCTTTGCCAGTTTATGGATAACGACTTAAACTAAGCAGAAACATGATATTTTCTCTAATAAAATTACCTTTATAAATGATAGATGAAGATCTCAAATGGAAAGACTGTATACAGAAAAAAGATGTCACGGCAGCAAGAAAAATGCTAGACGACGACATTTTACCAGGTCCAGAGGAATTACAACTTGCTGTAAACATTTTTAGTTATAGCAATGAAACTCGGGATATCGTCAAAGATATATGCCAGAGAATTGAAATACTCTTGCAGGAGGAACATGAAGAAATTGAATATATAAAAGCCTGCTTCAAGCATGATGACCCTAACAAAAATGTTATTTTTGTTATTAAAACTTCAAAACCGACAACAATTAGGAGCCGTTATCACTGGTATGTTGTAGAACAAAACAATGAAGAGGCTATAAAAGAAATGGAATGCGAAAATCGCACAGCATACCAATCCGAAGAAATGTTTCAAAGAGCTTGTGAGTGCTTGCGCATTAATTCCCCTGACTTCATGGAAGCTCATAGCAATCTCACTAGCACATCTGTAAGTCCAGTTAAATTGCGTAAACTGCAAACACCTGAACAAGCAGTTTTTATTGTTTTTTATGTTGAGGTTAAGGGTTACATCCCAATTGGAGAAGACGTTTTACCGGAACAGATAAAATACGATAATACGGCATTTGTAACTGATGTAAGAGAAGGTCAATGTGCAACTGCTATGGCTGCTGGACCATGTGAGAAGCATGAAGATTTAAAAATCGGATGTCAAATATCATCAAACATGCATGATGGGGGCACACTTGGTTGCTTTGTTAATCATCCAAAAGATGGCTTGTGTGCAATTTCTTGCGCACATGTTTTGTTAACTTTTAAAGATTTTGGCGAGATTTACCACAGAAAAAAAGGCATAGAGTCACTGGGTACAATTCAATGTTTCCAGCCTTTAAAACCCGACCTTTGTGGAGAAATATGTGATATCAGGTTGTTTGGCAAAAACAGTCATAACTGCGGTATGGACATTGCGTTATTCAAAGTTGATGAGAAACGTAAACCAAAGACAACTGCTTTTCCAGATGTTGCCACGGCTGATGGAAGAAATGGTAAAATAACTTGTACCTTTGTTGTGTACTTTTAATTCATAATATTAAAAAAGTCAATAGTCAAACAACTATTATCAGATTTGTGATTTTATAAAATATTGACTGATAAATGCCGAAAAATAACATCAGGAAAAACATATTATTTTTGACTTTACATTAAAACAGTTGCAAAAATGATGAATCAAATGAAATAATGTATATACAGAAAATTCACACGAAAATCCGTTGCAGCCGGTACTCGAACCACAGGACTCTGTATTGCCGATCCAGTCTGCTTACCACTACACTACAGCGGTTGATGCGTTTTTCCTTGTGCTCATAGACTTTATGTATTTAAGTTAATTAAAATTTCACTGTGACGTCAATTATTTTATTATCATAGCTACTTTTTACGGTATTGGCTAAATCATTTTTTTTCTTATTATAATAATTTTCTTTATTTTCAAATACAGAAATGAGATATTATCCAAAGTATGTTATGCAAGACTCGAAAACAGCGAAACTGACACCTTCCACCGAGGTCGTCAAATACGGAATGAAATCATATTTAACTTCTGGAAGATATCATTGTTATGGTCAAGCAGTGAAATTAAATTTGGATGAGCACAGTACAGAAGCAGTCCGCAAAAAAATATTGCAGTATTCTCTTGCCGACCAGATAGAGATAAGAGATTGTCGCGGAAAGTTCTCTAAACCCGGTGATTCCGGTGCTATGGTGTTTGTTAGAGATGAAAGGAAAGGTCTAATTGCACTTGGTATTCTTACTGGCCGGAACGAGAGGACAAAACAAACGTACGTGACACCGATCTGGAACATTTTAGAGGAAATTGAAATGCCAGTACCATATGTTCTTGCTGAACCAATTTAGGCGCATGAGATGTCCCCCGAAATATCCCCGGGATACTATCAATGGTGTCAATGTTGACAATTTAAAGTTACGTCCCGCAAAAATAACAAAAGTTTATCAGAGAAGACGAACTGAAATCTCACTCAGTAAGGTTGTGTGAACAAGATGGTAAAATAAGCTCATGTAGAATACTATACATTTAGTGAAATAGAGTCTCTCCTACAATGTGTTGAAATGACAAAAAGGTTTTGAACAGGCTCAATCAAACCGAGCCTGCAACATTTTTACATTTGCCGTGTTGAACTTTCTTTAGGGATTCTGTATTTATCTATTTCCTGTTATTATGGTTGTGTTAAATATTATAGCAAATATTACCAATGATACTGATGTAGTTATTATTTTGTTTCAAACTCTGTATTTCCTACCTTCCTTTTTTTGGTTCTAGATTATCATTTATTGTTTACTAAATTAATATTGTACCTTATGTCATATATATGATTATGTTTTATCAGATTTATCTTAGGCGCTCTTGAACATTTATTATTTATGAAAGGATTGCTATAAAAATGTGGTATATAATAATAATAATAATAATAATAATAATAATAATAATAATAATAATAATAATAATAATGAAAAATAAAGTATTAAAATCTAGAAACACAACAAAATTACAAAAGAAATGCTGACGACTCGATGAAACCTTTTCTTAATTATCTACCAGTTGATACAAAATACATGTAAATTAATGATAAAAATGTGTTCAAATGACAAAAAAGTCCTCTTATTAATTATAATGGTTGTGTTTAATATTATGGCAAATATAACAAATGATACGTGTGTAATTATTATTATGTGTCTGTATTTTTTACCTTCATTTACTGGTTTTAGATTATAATTTATTGTTTACTTATTTAATATTGTACCTTATGTCATATATATGATTATATTTTATCAGTTTTATGTAAAGCACTCTTGAACATTTATTATTTATAAAAAGATTGATATAGAAATGTGGTATATAATAATAAAAAAATAAAGCATTAAATCTGGAAACACAACAAAATAACAACAAAATTGTAGACGACTCGATGAAGCCTTTTCCTAATTATCTTCCAATTGATACAAAGTACATGTAAAGTAATAATACAAAATGTGTTCAAATGACCAAAAATGTCCTCTTATTTTAATGGTTGTGTTAAATATTATAGCAAAAATTACCAATGATACGTGTAAGTTTGAATATAGAAATCAACTCCAGTTTCAATTTAAAAATGTAATTATTTTATTTGAAAAATATACAACGTTTCGACTCAAAGTCTTCATCAGGTATACTTTGTTTACAGGAAATGACGTCAACGACAAATGACGTCAAGGACAACGACGTCAAAATGTATTACATAATTTGGCGTATAAATGTTATATGTAGGATCTTTATAAAAGATACAAAACACTGGTAAAGATGCAGTAAAAAGCAATGTCAAATAAGAAAACCAGCATAAACTACATATTGACATGAAATTAGTTTTAAGTCATATTAAGCAAAAAATAGAAAATACAATTTTTATTAAAAAAAAATTAAAATGAAGAATTATAATCTACAAAATTAATAAAGTATTTTGGAATTCATGCCATCAGGAATAATTGTACCTAGCTTATACATCCATGGAGTTTCTTTTAATAAGCTTTGCCAACTATTCTTTACTTTATCAATTGGCATAAATGAAAATCTTTGATAGAATGCTCTTCAGAATTAAAATGTTCAGATACATTGGTAATAGTGTCAGGAAAGTGTTTAATATCAAATTTGTGGCTATTCATTCTTTGACTACATTTTTGCTGAGTGTGACCAACATACTGTTTTTTTACATTTTTTACAAGTTATAAGATAAATGACATCTAAAGATACGATATATATATGAAAAATCACGTTTTATAGCAAATTCTTTAGGTACAGTAGTACTTGAACAATTATAAGATTCAACAATATTATTACAATGAGTACAACGAGGTCGACAACATTTAGATACTGAACCAACCATGAATTTGGCATTTAAATGAGTATGAACTAAATTGTCTTGTAAATTTCTTGGTCTCTTATAAGCAACAAATGGTTTGTATTTGTATAATTTACGTACACTTTCATTTGGAGAAAATTTCAATAGGTTCCAATATTGGTTAATTATTTTACCTATATTGGGTAAAGATGGATTATATGTACACACAAAGGGGATAATATTTTCCCGTTCTTCTGATTTGTCTTTTAATTCTAATGTATCCTCCCTCGATAAAAATGATGCTCTGGTAATTGTGACTGTAATGATATTTTCTGGATAGTTTCTGGCACGGAAATAACCTCGTAGTTTGTCACAGTCTTTTTCATATATGTTGTTATTTGATGTAATTCGTCTGTATCGTTTAGCCTGGCTAAATGGAATTCCTTTCTTACATGACAAAGGATGGCATGAAAAAAAATCAATATATTGATGGGCATTTGTTATTTTTTCATGGACACTAGTTTCAATTTCACAGTTATCTTTCTTTTCCAAATTTACGTCTAGAAATGTTGCATTTGTTTTTGAGTAGTTATAAGTAAATTTAAAAGTGTTGTGATAGTTGTTAATTTCATTAAAAAATGTAATAAGCTCCTCTTCACTGTGGTCCCAAATGAAAAAAAATATCATCAAGAAATCGCAGCCATATTGAGGGTTTTCTTTTACATGTATTTAAAAAGTCCATTTCAAATTTTCCCATAAATAATGAAGCATAAGATGGTGCCATTTAAGTTCCCATAGCTGTTCCTAAATGTTGTATATAGTTATCATCACCAAACTGGAAGTTGTTTTTTGTAAGCACTATTTCAATAAGATGTAAAATGTCTTTAACTGAATGTTGTTGTCCTGTTCTCTGATTAAGGTAGTACTGACATGCTTTGATTCCATCATTATAAGGTATATTACTGTATAAAGATGATACATCCATTGTAACTAAGAATGATTCTGTTGAAATATTTGTTATGTTTTGTATTTTTCTGATAAAATCTGTAGTATCCTTGACATATGAGGGTAATGCTTCCATGTGTGGTTTGAGTATATTATCGACATACGATGATATGTTTTCAGTTAATGAACCGCATCCAGATACTATTGGTCTTCCAGGGTAACCGAGTGGTAGATCAGAATTGAATTGTTTATGGATTTTAGGTAAAATATAAAAAGCTGGAACTCTATTGTCACTATCAGGAACCAAAGATTCTTTAATAGAGTAACTTATATTATCCATTTGATAAATTTCCTCATAGATTTCTTTTTTAAATTGTTCAGTTGGATTATTTTCAAGTTTCTTATAATATTGGTCGTTTTCAAGCTGTCGGTGAACTTCTCTAATGTAGTCAGTACGGTTCATAACAACAATAACCGAACTTTTATCAGCTTTTTTTATAATGATATTTTCATATTTTTGTAGGCTTTGCAAGGCTTTTAACTCTTCTGGTGATAAATTTGTTTTATAACTATTGTGTTTACTGTTTGACAGAATTTCATTTGTTATTGCTTCAATATAAAAATCAAGATTGGAATCTCTGCCAGAAGGGGGAATGATACGTGTGTAATTATTATTTTGTGTCTGTATTTTTTACCTTCATTTACTGGTTTTAGATTATCATTTATTTTTTTACTTATTTAATATTGTACCTTATGTCATATATATGATTATGTTTTATCAGAGTTATGTAAAGCACTCTTGAACATTTAATAAGTATGAAAAGATTGATATAGAAATGTGGTATATAATAATAAAAGCATAAAGCATTAAATCTGGAAACACAACAAAATGACAAGAAAATTGTAGACGACTCGATGGAGCCTTTTCTTAATTATCTACCAATTGATACAAAGTACATGTAAATCAATGATACAAAATGTGTTCAAATGACAAACAAAGTCATCTTATTATAATGGTTGTGTTTAATATTATAGCAAAAATATCCAATGATGCACGTGTAATTATTATTTTGTTTCAAACTCTGTATTTCCTACCTTCCTTTTATGGTTTTAGATTATCATTTATTGTTTACGAAATTAATATTGTACCTTATGTCATATATATGATTATGTTCTATCAGAGTTATGTGAAGCACGCCTGAACATTTATTAATTATGAAAAGATTGAATAGAAATGTGGTATTTAATAAACAAAATAAGCATTAAATCTTGAAACACAACACAGTTACAAGAGAATTGCAGACGACTCGATGAAACCTTTTCCTTATTATCTACCAACTGATACAAAGTACATGTTAATTAATGATACAAAATGCGTTAAAATGACAAAAAAGTCCTCTTATTATAATGGTTGTGTTTAATATTTTAGCTAATATTACCAATGATACGTGTGTAATAATTATTTTGTGTTTGTATTTCTTACCTTCCTTGCCTGGTTTTAGATTATCATTTATTGTTTACTTATTTAATATTTTACCTTATGCCGTATATATGATTATGTTTTATCAGTTTTAATTTAAAGCACTCTTGAACATTTATTATTTATGAAAAGATTGCTATAGAAATGTGGTATATAATAATAATGATAATAATAATAAAAATAATAATGTTTTAAAATCTGGAACCACTTCAAATTACAAGAGAATTGCAGACGACTCGATGAATCCTTTTCTTAATTATCTACCAATTATTACAAAGAACATATAAATTTATGATACATAATGTGTTCAAATGACAAAAATGTCCCATTATTATAATGGTTGTGTTTATAGGCTAGGCATTTTAGCCAAAAATAAGACCCAACCTCAAACAAATTCCTTTAGAAAAGATATTTGCATATTTGTTATCTACTATATAAGTGTTTGCTGCAGGAAAAAAGTCCTCAAAAAAATCGAAGTATAAAATGCTAAAAATGTCATGTTTTGAAATCATGTGTTTTCAATTAGAAAAATCTGTGAAATTTAATAACCCAGATATTCTACGCAAATATGGTCATTAACAAAGTAACACATTAATACACAAACATGCTTTATTTAATCCAAAACACTTCAACCAATGTTGATTACATTCAAAAAGTCGCAACACTTCATAATCTATACATCATCATTTAGACTGGTATAAAACATTACCCCACCCGCTAATGATAAATATTTTTTTTTACTTTAAGTCAGATTCAATTAAATATTCTTAAAAATTAGCTCTACCAAGATTAAAGTTGTATGAATCTATCTAAACTCATATTATAATTCAAAATTGCAATATATTTTACACAAATAATTATTATTTATTTACATTGTATTTGCATTTCTGTACTGAAAACCAATCATTCAAATAAATATCTTACCAATGCTAAATTGCACTTACTTTACCATGGAAGTTTTGTAAAAAAAATATTGTAAAAAGACATTTTAAAATAAAATGAATCTTCTGAATTTTAAGACACTGAAAAAAACACAATGTTATTTCATCATTTTTGTCACCGAGGCCCGACTATCCATATAGTCTGACAACGCTACACATGTACATATATATATTGCCCTGCCCTTGTTCAATGCTGAAATTATATCTCCACTTTTTCGGCCGGTGCTGTTGAAACCTTTAGCCTGCCCTTTTCACAGAGACACATTGTTTCGCATCTGTAAAATTGTAACAACATATTATGATAAATAAAAATGCGAACTTTGCATTCTGCTTTTAAAATAAAACAATTTTATGTCAAACTGAAAATGTAGGTACTACGAAAAGCAAGATAGGATTGTGCTTTTAGATTTATATTTTTATATTGCATTATCTACAAATAATTCATACATTAATGAGGCACGTTTAGCCTCAGCAAAAACGTGAATCGGCTTTCTTCTTTAGAAAATATGTTTCATGTTATATTGTTACAACAAATTTAAAGCGTGTACATTGTCTATCGGCTGAAAGAAGCGCTGACTGTGAAACATCATAATGTGCCATATGAGTAGGAAAAAACTGAACAAAAACGGCACCTATACTTTCATACAGATAACTAAATTGCAAGTTTT